GCCGGCTGGAGTCAAAGACCTGCTGCTAGTTATGTTGCCGGCTGGAGTCAAAGACCGGCTGCTAGTTATGTTGCCGGCTGGAGTTAAAGACCGGCTGCTAGTTATGTTGCCGGCTGGAGTCAAAGACCGGCTGCTAGTTATGTTGCCGGCTGGAGTCAAAGACCGGCTGCTAGTTATGCTGCCGGTTGGAGTCAAAGACCGGCTGCTAGTTATGTTGCCGGCTGGAGTCAAAGACCGGCTGCTAGTTATGCTGCCGGCTGGAGTCAAAGACCGGCTGCTAGTTATGATGCCGGCTGGAGTCAAAGACCGGCTGCTAGTTATGTTGCCGGCTGGAGTCAAAGACCGGCTGCTAGTTATGCTGCCGGCTGGAGTCAAAGACCGGCCGCTAGTTATGCTGCCGGTTGGAGTCAAAGACCGGCTGCTAGTTATGCTGCCGGCTGGAGTCAAAGACCGGCTGCTAGTTATGCTGCCGGCTGGAGTCAAAGACCTGCTGCTAGTTATGCTGCCGGTTGGAGTCAAAGACCGGCTGCTAGTTATGTTGCCGGCTGGAGTCAAAGACCGGCTGCTAGTTATGCTGCCGGCTGGAGTCAAAGACCGGCCGCTAGTTATGATGCCGGCTGGAGTCAAAGACCGGCTGCTAGTTATGTTGCCGGCTGGAGTCAAAGACCGGCTGCTAGTTATGCTGCCGGCTGGAGTCAAAGACCGGCTGCTAGTTATGATGCCGGCTGGAGTCAAAGACCGGCTGCTAGTTATGTTGCCGGCTGGAGTCAAAGACCGGCTGCTAGTTATGCTGCCGGCTGGAGTCAAAGACCGGCTGCTAGTTATGCTGCCGGCTGGAGTCAAAGACCGGCCGCTAGTTATGTTGCCGGCTGGAGTCAAAGCTTGTGTCACGTGACCAACCTGACGTGAGAGTCACTGGTCACTGACACAGCCAGTAGGTTCATCCACTCTCTTCTGAGCAGGTTCAGGTTCTCAACCCAGAGTACATAGCTCTCTTTAGCACTTTGTTACATAGTTGCTTTTCTGTAGAATTCACAGTCTCTTGCACGAGACGATTGACTTTTAGTCTGAGAGATTACTAGCTTCAGTAATACCTGTAAGAGATTGTTGATTCTCGGAACTAAATGGTTTTCCTTTCCCAACAAGATTGTTAATATTGATTGTTGGAGTTGGGTTATTTAATTATTTATAAGAACGTAAACATACACACATCTTCTTTTAACATTCATGGTATGTGAAGTATCACATTGTATGTGAAGTATCACATCGTATGTGAAGTATCACATCGTATGTGAAGTATCACATCGTATGTGAAGTATCACATCGTATGTGAAGTATCACATCGTATGTGAAGTATCACATCGTATGTGAAGTATCACATCGTATGTGAAGTATCACATCGTATGTGAAGTATCACATCGTATGTGAAGTATCACATCGTATGTGAAGTATCACATCGTATGTGAAGTATCACATCGTATGTGAAGTATCACATCGTATGTGAAGTATCACATCGTATGTGAAGTATCACATCGTATGTGAAGTATCACATCGTATGTGAAGTATCACATCGTATGTGAAGTATCACATCGTATGTGTGAAGTATCACATCATATGTGAAGTATCACATCGTATGTGAAGTATCACATCATATGTGAAGTATCACATCGTATGTGAAGTATCACATCATATGTGAAGTATCACATAGTATGTGAAGTATCACATCGTATGTGAAGTATCACATCGTATGTGAAGTATCACATCGTATGTGAAGTATCACATCATATGTGAAGTATCACATCGTATGTGAAGTATCACATCATATGTGAAGTATTACATCATATGTGAAGTATCACATCGTATGTGAAGTATCACATCGTATGTGAAGTATCACATCATATGTGAAGTATCACATCGTATGTGAAGTATCACATCGTATGTGAAGTATCACATCGTATGTGAAGTATTACATCATATGTGAAGTATCACATCGTATGTGAAGTATTACATCATATGTGAAGTATCACATCGTATGTGAAGTATCACAAGGTGTCACATAACCTCCCCCTGAGTATGGGATTTTAATGTTTAACATAGTTACTAAGTACGAAAAGAGACTTAATATGCAAATTAAATAAAGATCAGAAAGGAGTGTCTAACGTCGTTAATTGAACGTTGGTACACCCTGGGTGCTTCCTTCTAGACTAACTGTCTAACACAGTTAATATATAATCTAGTTACTAAGTACCAGAAGACTTAGTATTCAAACTGAATAAAAAAAATCTGGAAAAACAAGTTAATATTTATTTCCGCTGAAGTGAAATATAGAAGGTGAACAACGACTAAGTTATTATTATCGTGTTGTTACAAGATAAGACCAGTGTTTGTAACAGTGTTGGCAGCACGTAAACCGACGTGCGGACCACAGCCTGGCTGATCAGGTACTGACTTTAGGTGCCTGTTCAGTGCCTGCTTGAAGACAGCCAGGGGTCTATTGGTAATCCCCCTTATGCATGCTGGTAGGTAGTTGAAGAGTCTTGGGGCCCTGACACTTATTGTGTTGTCTCTTAACGTGCTAGTGGCACCAATACTTTTCATTGGTGGGATGTTGCATCGTCTGCCGAGACTTTTGCTCTCACGTGGAGGGATTTTCTTGTACAAGTTTGGTAATAATCCCTCGAGGAGTTTCCAAGTGTATATAATTATCTTAGTTCAAGACTTTTCCCAGTTTGACCGTAATAAATTTTATCACATTTTTTTTGCAGGGAATCTTGTAGACACAACCATCAATATTTTGGGGAGGAATTTTTAATCAGAATTTTTTTTTACGGTATCAAGATTTTTAAATACAACATAGATTTTAGAATTCTTAAGTAGAGAGGGAATAGCAAGAATATTTTCATGGTAAGGGAGAACCAACATATTCTTCCTTGAATACGACTCTTTCTCCTTTTTCTGAATTGTAAAAAGTATTTCTAGCAATTTTAATAGCTATTCTATCACCTTTTTACAGTTCCTTGAAAATGTGAGAAATCACGAAAGCGCTTGGAATTCTATTATTTTTTCACAGTGGTTATATATATATATATATATATATATATATATATATATATATATATATATATATATATATATATATATATATATATATATATATATATATATATATATATATATATATATATATGGTCATCATGTGGTGTTGACGGTGAGGTGTGGAAACTCCGGCTCCTCGGGGGAAAGAGTAGGAAACACTGTTTCCCTAGTGTCATGGTAGATGA